CCTCCCCTATCCCTCCCTCCCTCTCTCTCTCTGAAGTGTGCTTGCCCACAAAAGGTTACACCTGGAATAAAACATTTTTGGTCTTAAACACTGGACTCCCTCTCTCCCTCTCCCTCTCTCCCTCTCTCTGTCTCTCTGTTCTCTCTCTCATACCTGGAATAAAACATTCTTTGGTCTTAAACACCAGATTCCCCCCCCCCCCTATACCTGGAATAAAACATTTTTTGGTCTTAATCACAGGACTCTCTCTCTCTCTCTTATCTGGAATAAAATGTTTTTGGTCTTAAACACAGGACTCCCTCTCTCTCTTTTTCTGGTGTGCTCCCTCTGGCTAGCTCCCTCCCTCCCTCCACTCTCTCTCTCTCTCTGAAGAAAAAGTGTGCTAATGCATGGAATAAAATGTTGCGGGTCTTCTTAAAAGTCCCACGAGATGCCATTTCCTCCTCCTGGCCCGATGGGTCAAACTGGTGCATGTGTGCTTATCTGCTTCAAGAGAGAGCTTCAAGAGGTGTGAAGAAGGCATTTTTTCTTCATTGGCTTGAAATGGGCAAAACCTTCACTCTGAGTTTTAAAATGTCCCCCGCCCCCCTTTCTGGGCAGAGAACAGACAAAAAGGGGGGAAGTCAGTTCAATTGCTTTCCAGACTTACCTCAGCCCACCTTCATAAAAATGTTAATAGGTCTAGACAATGGGGTGCTCAAGTTCCCCACCCCCCCTCATCCTGAATGGCCTTGGCCTCAGCCTTAGGACAAAAATGCACATGTATGGGGCCTAAGTGATAAAACTGCTCAAGTTTCAGGCAGGGAGGAGATTGGTTTATGGTGACAAATAGCCAGGTCAATGAGAACCATTTGCCCACCTGTCAGGAAGGGGCAAGAGAGATCATTTGGGGGATATCCCGAGTTTGGGCTATAAACACCAAGGACACGCACCAATTTATGATTGGATGGAGGGCTATGGCAGGAAAGGGGGAGAACTGAGCCCCCATTTCAGGACAGGGCAG